ATGAACACTTTGAAGCAAGAGACAGAAGAATGATTTCATTTTCAGAATCTATAGCTGTAAAACTATCTGTTGGGTGAATCTTTACCTATTTAATTTTCTACGAGTTCAGCAGGTAACCGACAGTTTCAAAATTTGTCTAGTTTTTCAGGAGATAAATACTCATTTACAAACCACCGAATAGTTGTTGAGGGAAACATTTTACAAATATTTGTGAAATTCCATGATAAGTTTAGAGTGTTCGAAATGCTTAGCCCAAATATGTCATATTTTTCAGATCAACTACGTCTTCTCAGTGTTCTGTCAAAGTGCCATCATCCAGTTCCAGTCTAAGCAATAGAAGAGGCTGCATGACTCATGTTAAGCCCAGGGATGATTATCTCTCAGCTGACTCAACTTTTTTTAAATGCGTCGATAGATGAAGCTTGTATTTCATGTCGAGGAACTGAGTTCTACTCGTGGATGATATGATGATGGAGTTGATAATCAGCTGATATGTTATATATCTAGACTTGTGAAATCTTTCGGAGTGTCCTCATAAATTCTCCGTTTTGGAAGACAACAAAAATTAGGATATGTCAACTGCAAATTTATCATGAAGCTATTTAAAAACTGTAGTGAAGTAACTTTCGGTCCTTATAAATGATAAAAAGGACAGATAGATGTGTCAGCTTTATGACTGTGCAAACCTTCTTCAACAACTGACCATCCATTTTTGGGTAGGGGCTGGCTACCTGTATACTTGAACTCAGGAAGAACGAACACTAAACTAAGTCAAAAAGGTCTTAGTATCTATGTGACTAAATGCTCTCAGTATTAAGCAGAAAATTTTAAAACTTTGAGCAACTAATGCACGACAGGGTGTAGTGGTTTTCATGTCTTTGCTGACAATGACTCCGAGGTCAGTTTTTGTCTAGACAACGTGCACATCAGCAATATTTACCATGTACGTATCTGGATCCTGATGACTGAAATGCATTATAATGCATCTAGAAACATCTTCTGGAAAATGGCAAATTCTAGACCATCCAGAAAATTTCTGCAAGTCATTTTCTTCTTTTCTTGCTCTCCATATCTTGATTTCATCAGCATAAATAATCCATGATAATAAAAGACTATAAAGTTCATCTGTATGCAAGAGGAATAACACTAGTCCTATGATAATTGCTGCGTCACTTCACTTATCACAGTTATCCTTATAGAAGACGTGGAGTTCACCAGTACCATTCGTTAGGGCCATGCTCATTAATCTTTTATCCACATAAGTAAGTTATCTCTAATTCCAGTATCACTGAAGCTAAATATCAACCTATTTATATGCGACTTTGTCAAAACGTTGCTAAAGTCCATGAAGACTACAAATATAGATAGTTTGGAATCTTTTAGTACACATCAACTTTCTCGAGTTGCAAATGAGTTTGTAAGATATGACTAATTTTTTTATAAAACCGTGTTGCATTTCAGAAAGAATCCTGTTTTCATCCAGATAATTAGACAATTCCTTGCGTATAATCTCTTGTGAAATTTTAACAAACACAATGATCAGGCTTGCGAGACAATTGTTCTCAGATTTATGTTTCATAAATGTTTTGAAAATAGAACTTATTTGGACATTCTTCCAGTCTTCCGGTAATCTAATTTAGGTTAAAGATATATAAAAATGTGCTCAAGAGATTCAGGTCGGTGGCCTATGCTCCAATAGGGGTAATAGGCTTTAATAACTAAATAAGCAAGCTCAAGAGCTTGGTGATAAAGTTTGCTAGTCTCGTCATTAATCGATGATACGATTCCTCAGGTCCCATATATTTACCTATATCTAGGATTTTTAGTGGACAAATGATATTGAGTTATATAATATTCGCTATATGCTTACACGAGGTGTTTGTTACTGAAGTGGTTTGAGAATAGTTAAGGCTTATCGAAGACGTCTTATGCTGTTGATTGGATATCACCGTCTCTAAATGATGCAGGGAAGTCGCCTCTTCCTCTTCTTTCTTTGGTCGATAAACAAACAAAATGTTTTGGATCTAGAATTATTGTCCTATTCTCAAATCCTCTGGGGATGCTGAATACATAAGTTCTCGTATATTTGTTTCTAAGATGTTTGATATACCTCGAGATGACATATTTCCCTTGGCAAGGATATGGAAGTCACAGACTAAAAATGAATGGTTTCACTGGAAAAAATGAAAAATTTACCTTTAGTTGTAAACTGTGCAGCAGTATAACACTGTGTTAGTAGTTGTAAAGATAACTAAGCATGAAAGCGTAGGATATAAAACTTTGCATTACCAAGACGAAGTCCATTTATTGCCATATTATGGTCAATATATTTTGAAGTCAGGTTGAAAACAGAACCCAGAATGATAACTTATAACTTACTTCATATATTACTGACAACTCTGTCCGAAATCCCCAGTTGAAAGTTGTCTGGAAACAATGTCTTCTCAGAAGATATGCTCTCATCGTATAAAGTTCAGGTTCATCCCTATGGAAACTAGTAAACTACGTGCACTACTTTAATAGTTGCGAATATCAAAACTCATTGCAACCGAGCAACACTCCTGACACAGCTACAGCCATCCTAATCTGCTATATCTTTTAAAAGCTGAAGGAGCTAGATCAGTGTAGGCTGTGTGAATTCACTTCCCCCTATAACACTGCGTACCACTGTCAAAAAAGTAACGAAAACTCAGGCATTTACAATTATTTACTATACAGTATCCAGTCATCATTCAAGGGTTTTCAATTAATTTAGAATAAATACTCAGAGGTAAAAAATTAATACAAAATCGTTCATGAAAATGCAAAAAAGAACCATGAAATATTAAAATCAGAAACTGCAATAACCAGAAAAATTCCACTCAAAATAGTGAGAATAGTGAGAAACATTTTGTGAAAAACTATTCTCATTTTAATATTTTAATTTAAATTAATTCCACTATGGTGCAAACCACTATCCTGATGCGTAATAAACGATCAAAACTATAAAAACCAATCTAATGGAGAAAGGAAACATTATCACATCTGACTGGCATGTGAATGATTGATTTGTAAAATATATTAATGAAATGTATGAACTCTGTTTATATGAGTTAACCAAATCAATACACCGCAGAATCAAATTTTCCTGCCATTTTATATTAGTTGAACAGTTCTGCTGTGTGTCTTTGAATATTGCTAGATAAGCTAGAGTGAGTTACTTTTTAAGTTTAATTCATTATCCGTGATATCCATAAACTGAAGTTGGAGAACTGTAATGTATGAATCATCCAGGTTCATGAAGTTATCTTGAATAAGCAAGATGAATATGATTAGCGTTTTTTTGGCAAGTTAGTTTTTGACGGGATGGGGTCGCCAACCCTATACCCAACCCTCTTCCTATATCCGGGCTTGTGACTGGCAGTAGCCCTGAAGGTTCTACTGGCGGAGTTAAGGTGAATATGTTAGTCTATAAATAATCAGCAGGTTATTTACAGAGTATGAAAATGTTTTCTAACTACAAACTACCTTTGGAAATTATATTTGTTTGTGTTTAATTCTACCAAAATTTTTTCATAATCTTAATAAATAATTAAGATATTTAAGGATACAAAACTGAATCACTTCAATCTTAGGATTATTGAAAATAATAGATCATTTTTACATGATATACAACAATTTTGCTAACCATGAAAATATAAATTCAGTTATTATACAACCGATTATCGATGTGAGTTATCGATGTATGAAAGAACCAACAATGAAATCGGTTCTTTAGGTTGATCGCTTCCCAAATATCTTCATTTCCGAGCAAACACTGATCTATTCAAAGAGCATACACCAGAAACACTAAATTATATAAACATACTTTTACTACTCGTTCTCATTATCATTTATGTCTAGGTGGAGAACGAATTATTGTACAGTTCATTGTTGGATTATCATTAAAAGTCAAACTGACCACTAAAACGGTACACGTATTAATGGCTTTCGAGTACTAATTTAACCTTCTTTTCATTGCATTTTGATGTAATTTCGTAAGTGTTTTCAAAAAATGTTTGTTTTTTAATGGTGACAAAAATAAAATATTTGTTATATAAATCGAAATTTTGTATTATAGATTTGAAAGTTATCTACCTTCATGGATCACACTTTTTAAAGATAAATATTTAAATTTTTTGCTAAACTCATACAAAGTAATTTTTTATTTCTCACAACCTGTTGGAAGAGCTTGTTTAAAAATAGTCTTCTCAAAATTAAGTAATTCAAATGGCCTGTAAAATGTACACAACACAAAGAGGTTTTAAATTTTTCTTGAAATGAATAAAACATCACAACTTATCTCTATGATACAAACTACAAAACTCAAGCTTAGATACCTCAGCCGGTAACATAATTTCATCTATATCATTAGTTTGGACAGAAAAAAGTCATCTTATTCAAGTTCGTACCATACAAATCCATATTCGTCGATGAAAATTGTAATCGGAAAAGTATGGATGAAAACATTTACGGTTGAGGATGATCTCGGTTACGTGATATGTCTTGCTTTGCATTTTTACCATATTACAGAAAGATACGTTACAAAGTGTTATAATTTCTGCTAAAAATCTCTCACTGTCACCAAATATACTCATGAATATTCTAGTGATTAACTATTCAATTTTTAAAAAAAAATTAACTCTAAAACCTCATGGCAATAGGAATAATTCACAACTTTTTATTGTTAAAGCTTATGAAAGTAGCGTTCCTTAATTTTATGAAATTTAGTTTTGTCAAAGTCTAACAAATGTTTGTTTGTTTTTCTAATCTCAAAAATAAAAGTTTATTTTGATTGGTCCAATAATTTATCCAGTCATAAAATCGTTTTCGAACATATTTACATTTATGAAATGCAAAAATGAAATAAGTCCATTTATTGAAACATTCATTCAGAAATAAAAAAGAACTCTTTTTTTTCAAATAAATAAACAAGTAATTTCTTTCATAAATGTTCTACTACACAATCGGTATTTGGTGAATTTTGTTTAGAATTGAGAAAAGCAGACTGGAAGATAAAACTGATAATTATCTAGGACAAATGTAAACTAAATATTCTACATTGAAAAAATACATTTTTCACACAAAAGAAAACATGTACAACGTCATTAAAAATGTGTTCATTATCGTAGATGTAACGATAAGAATTTTTATTTTACATATCTGTTATGTAGGTAAGTTATATTTTTCAACTTATAAAGGTAGTTTAGTGTTTTTCTTTATGAAAATTTTAATCATTCCAATTCATAGATTTTTCTTATATGTTTTCATTAATACAATTATTTCTAATATACATGAATTGATTAACTGCTTCTTTAGATCTGACTAATAGTTATGCTGTTTCTTTTTGCAAGTTGTTTGTTCTTGAAATTTATCCATGTTTAAGGCTCGATTTGTCGCACAAACTAATATAAGCTCTAAACTCTGAAATTTCGAAAGCTACCTAATCATATTTGTAGAAACATTATGCTTAGATTCTTACAAGTCGACTATACTTATTTATAATTAATAATTCTTTGACAGTTCAACGAAGATTTTAATAAATCTTTGAAATTTTTTTGTTACAAAAGTGTGAAGAAACATACATATCAGTATGTATCAACATATTTCATCAAAACAAGTGAAATATTAGAAGTGTAGCTAGCTTACCAGAATGATGAACAGTTTTTTATCAGCTTAGAAAAGGATTTAACCTCATTTAAGATCTTTTGTGACCTTAGCTCCTATACTGATACTGTTGTACATGAAACTTACTATCTGTCATTAGGCTAAACTATAAAATTACGAACCTAGTTTAAAATCCTTCATCGTCACAAATTAAATGATCACAAGCTATCTTTTTGGGAGTCAGCTAACGATTAAAATTCTTAAAAGATTACAAAATACTATTCGATATCATTATAATAGTCAATCACTAATTACATGCAAATGATCTAGAATAAACTTAAACAATCATAGAACTGATAAATCAATCATCATCATCGTCAAAACATTATGATACTGTTTTATAACACTGGAAATATTATGGCAGAGTGAGCTTAATATGATAGGAAACATGAGTAGGTGTCTTCAGAAAAATATATAGATTAGTTATACTGGTTAAGTGGTCACGCAACATCGAATGTATTTGTTATTCTCAAGTTTGTAGTATAAAAATACTCAGCAAATAAATGTAAAAATTCTGATTAATTAATTGAAAGTGACAAACTGTAACTGAATACGAATTATTGTTGTTGATTGCAAATTTGAGTATGTAACGTTCCAAAATAATCAATATCAGAAATATATTTTCCTTGAAAATTAATGAATTCGAATACCATCATAAGCTTTAGTCACATATGTCATAGAATTAAATGTTGCTGACATTCTGTATGATAACAACACATTCAAAAAGCATTAACAAAAATTTGTATGTTTCAAACATTTTGACTGCATTGGAGTATCTATTCACTGTCATTTAAGTAACGCCTAAGAAATACCTGTTCTTACAGGTTTTTCAGTGCTATTTTTATTCTTTTGACCATTTACAAAGGACAGTGTCATAACACCAGAGTTAAGTGGGATTTTGATGATCCTTAGTTTTTCGTATGAGTTTCATTTGTCGTTCAGAGTGATGGTGAAAATTTTATCATTAAATATAAACGTCCAGACAAGAATAAATGCATTCAACTTACGAGCACCGAACAGGACAAAACGCGCATCCTAGATTGTACTGTTAGCCACTATCCACCTTTACTAATAATGCTTGTAACCTGAAGGCCAGGTCGAGGCAACACCCCCCTTCCAGTATGCACATATGCAGTTCTACCTATTAATGGGAAGATTCATACAACAAATACAAATGAACTGTGTTCCATGTTTTACTTCACCTATCTAACTCTCCCAATATACTTGGATGGTATGGTTCTTATTCATTTCAAAATGACCATGATCATTCCATTGATTATAAGTTTCATTAACTTATGCTAATTCAACTGTTGACCATATTCTATAATTATTTTAACTAGCCACTGGCTAGTTAAAATGCATGATTGCTGAAACTGAAGGAGACTCTCACGAAAATGATGAGCTGCACAACGTATAATGCTAGCAATTTATTTCTAATATTTTCAACAGTTTTGTAGTAACCTAATCATTGTTTGCAAATAAACAGTTAACTGACTTTTTAAAATCTGAAAGGTCTTACTGTTCTTTCTCATAATTTGTAAGCAACTATACATTGTTTTCGTGTCTGTTGTTTTCTTATTGAAAATTGAATCAGTTTCTATAGCCCCAATAAGTTGATATTTATTTTTTTTTTTAATTTGCATATCTTATATTTGCATCTAATTTTGCTTTCAAGTAAGATTTATAAATAAAACTATGTGACATATTTCAAGCTATTGAATATCTTTGTTTCAATCAGTTAGCTATAATGCTTAACAAAATAAAAGGGTTATTTATGTCAATTAGATAAACGTAAACGACAATATTTTACCCTCTTGTCTATCTATTTGTCATTACCGTTTTCCTTGAATATGTTTCTTTAGTTTATATCTGTAATCATTATGAGAAATACGTCACTGTATGAAACAAGCAACATAAAAATAAAGTTTTACAGTATATATCATCAATATATAAGTACAATAACCTTTTTCGATAGTGATTTGGATTTAAAATGAAATATTTCGTAGTAGTATTTATTGTAAGACACATTTTATCAATAAAACAGTACTATCACTTTGGAATTTATATTTCTCACTATAAACATCAATGAATTGGATAATGTCCCAGTAGGTGTTTTTCATAATTGGTTCATTGGACAGAATTTTGTCTACTGCCTCATAGGAACTAAGTTATCGCCTAGGACTAAATCTTTGAAAGCAATGGGATGCACTTTGTCTAATAAGAAAATAGATATATGTAAGTAGATTAGCTTCTAATGAGATGTTGCTTTCTGTGAAATAATATAACGTGGAAATTTTTCGGAGTGGTGCTTTAAAACGGACATTGATTCCGACTTAATGAAGAGGCCTAGAGTTAGTCATACATTTCATCGTCTTGTAAAGTGATAGTCAGCGGTAGTATTTCCTTAAAAAGGAACCAATGTATTTTCCGAATTCGCAACTGTGTTCTTAGGACTCTGGTTTACCAGATCACAGACAATGATCATGGAAGAAAACACAATTCATCAATATTTGTATGAATGTTTAATCCATTTTTACGTTTTTTTGTTTAAATCAATGTAATGAAGTTTAATTACTTCCGCTTGTTTTCTAACAAACATTAACTTATGTAGTTATGTCTGTGTATATTTTTAAATAAACTAAAATGTTTTCAAGCTAACGTTTTTAAGCAACCGATGAGCAATTTCCTCAACATTTAGGTTGGGAACATTTTAACAATAAGAAATAATGAAACGAAAAATGAAAGATCGATTAAAATAATACTGGATGACAGTTGATTTGGTACTTTATACTATAAGCATAAGACAGCAAAGCTGCTGAAGTATGGTAGGTGAAACATGTGCTTATATGCGAAGTATTGAAACTGAAAAAGGATGGGTTGCTCAACAATAAAAAGGATCAGGGAATTTACATAACAATCTAGTTCATATTAAGTGGTGAAAGACCCTTAAATATAACCTGTCTTGCATAAAGTTGAATGCGGTTCATTTAAACACATCTACACTCAGAATTAAAATAAAATCTCAATTTGGTAACCTATATATTCACGTTTTTGACCTTAACACTTTTAGTGAAAACAAACGTGATTGGTTCAACTCAAAGTTGGCTATAATTCAATGTTAATCAAATGAGATAATGTTTATGGAGTCGTATTAACCATTAAATCTGATCAAATGCAAATAATGATCCTGGAAGACTCAAGAAAAGTCATTCAAAATTCAAACAGAAAAATCTCTAGTACTGTAAAATAAAGTCATGATGATTAGCTAAAAAATAAGCCAGAACCAATTCGTAAGAGTTACTCTTGAATTTATACAATTTTTAGATCAAGTACGTACTCAAATATGACATATCTCCACAGTTTACTAACAACCATTTGGAAGAAACAAGTGATATAATCAGTCAATACCCACGTTACCTATCCATCCCATAGATAAAGCTCAGACATTAATTACGACTAAGCGTTAAATCGTCTATTTCCAATTTAGCGATAAGTTATAACATTAGACGGACAATATGGCTACAGGAAATCTCTTAAAAACAATGATTCGGATATTCTCGTCACAATTTAGAATGAATGAATCGAATGCCTACTATCAACAACACAATTCTATATAATTTGCGTTGATGAAACTTTCGTATTGTGCAATAACATAAATTATGCAAAAGTTTTAATTGAAACTTGCAACAAAAGTTCACCCTAACATCAAATCCACAATGGAACATGAAAGGATTAGTTTTATTTCTTAGGTCTAGATATCTCTCTGAAAAATGATGGAGCCTATCAAGAATACATACATTGGAAAGAAGCCTAGAGTGGATAATACCTAAACTTTGATAGCTGTTGTAAATTAAGTTATAAATAAAGGTTAATGAAAACACTCTACCATAAAAACAGAAAGTTATGGCCAGAAGATCGTTAGGTGAGGAGTTTGCATTTACACAGAAATATAATGTCAAAAACCGTAATAGAACGGTGATTCACACAACGAGAAAGAAACATATTTTTTTATCTAACTGATCAAATCAAAGACAAAAGGTGATTTTAGAAGTTATATTTCATACTGTTGAACTGTTTTCATTTTATAAAACGAGATGTTTTGTAACGCATAGGAATATAAACGCATTTATGCAACATGATACTTTCAACTGGTTATATCAGTGTACATTTGCTTGCAACAGCATGACTAATGAAAAGACACGATGAAGGGGATCTACATCTTTTGTCCAATACATTCCAATGGAGTAATATAACTGTCTTCTCGGTTCAATAGCTTGATAACCACTTAGGACACAATATATTCAAAATAAAAACAATCGAATTCTACACCATCAAAATTTGCAGAAGCCATAATATCCTGAAAGCTTGAACCGAGTCAACGACCAACCTTCATCTACCTTAGTAATTAAAGTATTTTGTCATCTAACTTTTTATAACTCAGTTAAATCATATTGTCAAATTACAAAAACATAATCTGCTGTTATGTTACTTTACAAAAATTACATAA